AAACTGAATCTAATAGAAAAGAAAGTGGGAAATAGCTTTGAACTCATTTGTACAGGAGACAAGTTTCTGTACAGAACACCAACAGCACAAGCTTTAAGATTAATAATCAATAAATGGAACCTCATGCAACTGAAAAGCTGCTGTAAAGCAAAGGACACTGTCAACAAAACAAAATGACAGCCTAGAGACTGGGAAAGGATCTTCACTAACCCTACGTCTGCCAGAGGGCTAATACTTACCAAGACATATGAAGAACTCAAGAAATTAACCATCCAGGATGGCAGACAGAGTAGACAACAAAAGTGGTTGAAGAGAAGCAAGAGGAAAGGAGACTACCATAAACTTCCTCTGAAGGATTCCATCCACCAGGGGATCGATCAAAGCAGATGCTGTGACTTACAGCCAAACTTTGGGCAGAGTGCAGGGAGTCTTGTGAAATAGTGTGTGTGTGGGGGGCAGTTGGAGGGTCTAGAAGTACCCTGGGGGGAAAGGCCTGCTCAGATGTAGCTGATAGGCAGCTCAGTCTTCTTGTGATTTCCCTAGCAAGGAAAGCAGGAACTGTCTCTGACTTGGACTCTGTTGCCTACTCTTTTCCACCTGATGGGGTAGCCTTGCCAGACCACAGAGGATACAACCAGTCCTCGTTTTGTGGACTTTCAACATCATACACTGAGTTTTGAGAAGTCAAAAGATCGATAACATACACTGGAATGAGTATTGACGCAAAACATATTGGTGGCATTTTTTTTTCATGAATTCTTTTAAATTGGATTTAATATTATGGACCATCAAATTTTTCATGGTCCGTTAGCAGTTACTGATTTTAGTTTAAGTCATGACTATGTCTATTAGAAGATTTTCTGAAACAGTAACTTCAACATAATAAAATATAAGCACTATATTAATTTTATTTTATAATTTTTCAAATTAACTTCATTTAAAGTTGGTTTCTTTACAAAGATCAACCAAATTCAATTGTAATCAATGATTTCTATGCACTATACCAATATAGCTATATGGTTATTACTTATATAAGTAGTTGCAGGGAATTTGAAATGGGAATAACAACAAATGACAGACTCTTGAATTTTAACTTAGTATTCAGTAAGAAAAAATTCAAAACTGTATGTATTGATTCAAATCCTAGCCAACTGAATATGAAGGCACAGACTTCTTCATCAAATATCCAAAAGCCGTTTTCTGGTCTTCCTGCTCATCAGATCAGAACAAGCCCCAGCTCTCTGCCTGTATTGCAAGCTATGATATATGTTGTACATATCCATTTGCCTAATCAACTCCACCTGTTTTATGCTTGAGGTTCTTCTACGATTTTACAAGATAAACAGCACCGGATACAAACAGCTTTCTTTCCTAAGAATATTTGCATTTTATCATAACAGGGAGAGGAAATACATGTGAACAGATAACAAATGTTGATATTAGAGACAGAACAAAACTCAAGAGCTATTTGAAGACTCAGCAAGCCTGTATGAAGTTTTGTTTTCTTTCCATCTCATTAATAACTGATGATATGAAAAAAGGCAAGGGTACACTTTTTTTTTTTTTTTCTGAATGTTAGCTGTTTAAATGACTGGCAAACCATGACTGCCTTTACAGAATGAAAACTAAGTGGAGTTGAAATGATATTTTAAAATGTACTACTTATGCAAAGAAGTCTGTTTTAGAATTTTGACTTTTTAATTTACTTCTGTAGCTTTTAAAGCAGGTTGCTTTTAGAGAATAAAATATGGTTGTGGAAATATGAAAAAAATTAATACACGATGTATTCAAAATACAGCAGAGAAAATCTACATGTGTACTTAATAGGAACAGTAATTCTAACATCTATACATTTTTCTGAATATATTCTTATTTTTTCTTTTGAGTGTTTGATTCCTGCACATATTTAAGAGATAAAGATTAGAGTTCAAAAACAGAAAAAAAATGCTTTATAACCTAGAATTAATATTGTGAGATCTAAAGAAATATTTTATCAGACATCTGTTTTCTCACCTTTAAATATATTTTGTGAACATTTTCTGTAACCTATGCCAATTTTCTTAAAGTATTAGGTAACAATTTCAGGAAAAAGATGTGATATGCAGCAAAAGGATGAATTATATTTAATGTAAAGCAAGGGGAAATCTGTTCATAAGTGATCAAGAAAAAACTGTCATATATTCAACATAGTTTGAATATTGTCAAACCAGGTAACGGTCTATTCTACACATCAAGTAAAGCAAAATAAATTTAAATGACTGTCATATTTTTAATATTCATCAGTATATAAAGCAATAAAGATAATATCATTCTTGCAAACATAATTTTAAAAGAAAAATTTAGTACCTGCAAATGAGTTATAGATGATTGAAATATACTTACCATTTTCCTTTTGATCATCCTATATAATAATTGACTGAAGTTTGTTTCTGTTAGTTTAACGCAAGATAATTTACAATGTTTGAACATAAATAGAGATGTTAATTTCTTTAGGAATAAAAAACACAGAGCATTCATTAAAATGAAATAGTCTGAAACATGTTTATTCATTTTTATGAATGAATAAACTACCCTCAAGTTATGTAATTATGTTTGCAATGCAAGTAGATCTTTTGAATTTAGATGTTATATAAGAAATTGATCACATCATTAAGTGTTATATTCTGTAATATCATCCTAAAATGTATCTGAATAACAAATGTTTAAAAATTGATTTCTGTGTGGAAAACGTATCATTATTAAGAATATCCTGAGTCAACAACTCTATTTTACTTATCATCATAATTTATATTTGCAAGAGGTTAGTGAAGACTTATTTTTCACTTGCAAATTCTGATTTGCTGTTGAGTAAAATTATCTTCATTGCTTTCAGTTTTAAGGAAGGTCATAGAATGTCTCTAACATTATCTCCACGTTTCTCTCCACTACATTTGCACGAGATTCTATTTACTATTACAAACATTGATTGCCAAAATATTATCTTGCTAGACTTCACTTCACCTATTTTTCTCAGGATTGTATATAAGATAAAGTTGATGAATGTAAATGAAAACAAGAATAATCAACAGATGAATGAAGAGAAAACAAATTAGTTGCATGTTTCAAGACTTTAGAAGTTTATGTTTAGTTAGGTATTTACTATAGGATATTTCTGATGTAAATTTATAGAAAAAATCTATCTTCAAAATTATATTTTTTGCATGGGCCTTTTATATTTGATAGGGAAATTGGTAGATAGTTATAGCACATTTGCGAAAAATGCAATAAATCAACAATAGCACATGAAGAGAATCGTGTAAGTAATTACACCAAAACACCAAAATGAGAACATAACCATGAGGACTGCAGTAGGACTAAGCAGAAAAATCAGAGCAATAACCATAGATGAATATCAAGAACCCAACTCTATGTAAGAATTGAAATATGTGGATATTTTTTTTATTATTATTTAATTTTATTTTTTTTCTTATCAGTTACATTTTATTAACTCTGTATCCCAGCCGTGTCCAGCTCCCTCATTCCCTCCCAATCCCACCCTCCCTCCCTCATCTCCACCTTGCCCCTTTCCAAGTCCACTGATGGCGGGGGGGACCTCCTCCCCATTCATCCAATCCTGTGTTATCGGGTATCTTCAGGACTGGCTGTGAAGCCCTCCTCCGTAGCCTAACAGGACTGCTCCTCCCTTGGGGGGTGGGGAGGTCAAAGAGCCAGTCATTGAGTTCCTGTTAGAAATAGTCCTTGTTCTCCTCACTGTGGGAAACCAATTGGTTACTGAGCTACCACAGGCTACATCTGAGCATAGGTTCTAGGTTATATCCATGAAATATGTGGTTATTTTAGTTTTCAAAGAAATTATTTTCTATGCCAAACTTTTCTGAGTAGTTCATTGGTGAAAATTAGTATTAAAACCTGAAAAAATAAGGTACAAGGATATTCTTGTCTGAATAATGTACAGTGTGAAAACTGAATTGTGTGCTCAAAATAATTAGTATAAAATGCAATGAATAAGCATGTTTGCTCACATGGAATGGTGGGGATAAAAAGCATGATGATAACAATTTATAAAGAGCCAGTCCATGGTAAACTACTCATTAGAACTAAATAAATCCATACATGGTCCCTGCTTGAGGTATCAGCCTCAGAAAAGACCCCTGTACCCAGATATATTTGGTCCTTGAGGAGCTCCTATCTTCTCCATGTCATACTAACTCCCCCTTCTTTCATATGATTCCCTGCACTCTGCCCAAGGTTTGGTTATGAGTCTCATTATCTGCTTTGATACACTGGTTGGTAAGGTCTTTCAGAGGCCCTCTGTGGTAGGCTCCTGTCCTGTTACTTGTTTTCTCCTACTTTCAACATCCATCCCATTTGTCTTTCTAAGTGAGGATTGATGATCTTACCCCAGGTCCTCTTTCTTGTTTATTTTAAGTGTATAGATTTCATTATGTTTATCATATATTATAGGTTTATATAAGTGAGTATATCTATTTATTTGGTTCTTTTTTTAAATTTTTATTATTAGTTACATTCTATTAACTCTGTATCCCAGCTGTATCCTGCTCCCTCATTCCCTTGAAATCCCTCCCTCATCTCCTCCCTACCCCTTTCCAAGTCCACGGATTGGGAAGGACCTCCTCCCCTTTCTTCTGGCCCTGTTTTATCAGGTATCTTCAGGGCTGGCTGTGAATTCCTCCTCTGTGGCCTAGCAAAACTGCTCCTCCCTTGGGGGGTGGGGAGGTCAAAGAGCCTGCCATTGAGTTCCTCTCAGAAATAGTCCCTGTTACTCTTACTATGGGAAACCAAATGGTTAATGAGCTACCACGGGCTACATCTGAGCAGAGGTTCTACATTATATTCATACAGAAATTGTGGTATTTTTACACAATGGAATACTACTCAACAATCATAATTGAGGAAATCATGAAATTTGCAGGCACGATGGATCTTGCAATTTTTGTACAAAATTTAAAACATCAAAAAGAAAACTGTGCAATACATACCAAAAAGTTGATAGCAGAAACTGTTATTTGCCCGTTTCCAAATGCTGTAAGTGGGAAAAGAAGAGATGGAAGCGAGCATTTCTATCCGGATCATTGTACTGAAGACATCACAAATATAATTACCAGATCCATATGCATTTGAAACTTAATATTCGTTTTAATTTCTAAATGTTCAAATTATTTTGTTTACTCTTGTTCTTTTTAGTTGTGTTCTAATAACACATAGAAAACAAATGGAATCTAAAATTACCTGTGTATTGTTAGGCTTTCTGAAAGCAGAGCTCATCTTGCTAAGTTCTCATTTTAAACATACGTACAATATAGTCCAGCAAGTTGTAGCACCTCTTGATGTCCTTTTGTTGTTTAATTTTGTAATTAAAAATCAGCCCTATTTCTTTTATTTGTACCTGTCATATTCATTATTTTACTTGTGTACATTTTGAATCTGCTTTGTAGTCTGCACTTTTGTAAATGCTTCATAATTATCATAAGACCAAAACATGGCTTTTAATTTTTTAAATATGTTTATTTGTAGGGGAGTCTATAACTATTCCATGTTGTACACGTGGAGGTCATCCATACGTATTTATATGTAATATGTGTGTGTTCACATAAATACCGCATTATATATTATGTATTTATACATTGTATATATATTGGATAGTAATATATGTATAGATATATAAATAATGTGTAGATACACACTTAGTCTGGAGTTCATTTAGTACTGCCTGTATGCGCATGTGTTTAAGGCTGACCACTTAAGATTAGCACCTGTTAGAGGACGCATTCCTGGGGAAAACTGATTCTTTCTTAACAGCCTTAATGACACAGTGGTCAAACAATCTTTTTTTAATTTTTGTTTTTGTCATTTTCAATGCCTATTTTTCAACAGTCAATTAGCAATTTCTTAGTACTCCTACAGAGATAGAAAATATCCATGTCAGCCATATTTAGTTTTTCAAGACTACCTAAAAATTTAATAGATTATGATATAGAAGAAATTGAAAATTGATTTTCCCATTAATTGTTCTCTTAAATACAAGATGTTTGCTTCTTACGTAAATGAGAGCTGCACCTGGGTGTTAGCATATGGCTACTTAAGAAGAAACGGTACTTACATGGTGGTGTATATCTTGGGTGATTAATATAATAAGCCATCCAAGAAGTGAATCCCCAATAAAATGCACAACCCTAGAAGTAAAAGAAGACAAAAAAGTTATAGAAAGTACGTAATATGAAATATATTAATTTTTAATTTTTTCTTTATTTTTATTATTTATTAAAATTTATTCACTGTGCATTGTAGCTGTAGCCCCATCCCTCATCTCCTCCTGGTTCCACCCTTCCTGCCTCTTACCCCCGCTATGTCCTTCCTCTAGTCCACTGATAGTGGAAGTCCTCCTCCCCTACTATCTGACCTTAGTCTATCAGGTCTCATCAGGACTGTCTGGATCCTCTTTCTCTGTGGCCTCATTAGGTCACCTAGTCAAGGGAAGGTGATCAAAGAGCTGACCACTCAGCTCATGTCAGAAACAGCTCCTGCTCCCTTTAATAGGGAACCTCCATGAAGACTGAGCTGCCCAGGGGCTACATCTGAGTGTGTGGGGTGAGGTCTAGGTTCTCCCCATGCATGGTCGTTGGTTGATTCATTAGTCTCTGCAGGCCTCCCTGCAACCCTGGACCCAGGGTTTTTTGGCTCTGTTGGTCTCCTTGTGAAGCTACTGTTCTCTCCTGGTCTTTCTATCTCCCAATTCTTTCACTTGATTCCCTGCCCTCTGCCCAAAGTTTGGCTATAAACTCTCAGCACCTGCTTCTATAGCCTGCTGGGTAGAGTTATTTGGAGGTCCTCTGTAGTAGGCTCCTGTCATGTTCCCTGTCTTCTCCCACTTCCAACATCTATACTGTTTGTCCTTTTGAGTGAGGGTTCTGCCTCTTGCCTAGGATCCTCCTTGTTGTTTAGCTTCTTTAGTGCTATAGAGTTTAGTATGTTTATGCTATATTATATGTCTAATATCCACTTATAAGTTGGTATATACCATGTGTGTCTTTCTGTTTCTGGGATACCTCACTCAGGATGATCTTTTCTAATTCCAACCATTTGCCTGCAAATTTCATGATTTCTTTGCTTTTAATTGCTGAGTAGTAGTATTAATTATGTTTTCAATGTAGTGTTTGAAAGCGTTTTAATTTTTTTTTTTTGGTAGCTTCTTAACCTTTGGCACCTGTTGATTCTTATCATTTTTTTTTTTCATGGCAGGTTCTAGCATCACACTGGAAGCTTCGTTTTCAAATAGATTTAAGGAATCTGATTCAAGGTTCAAATTGAATAATTTTTCAGGCATGGTCTACTTTATATCCTGTGTTCCTGTAGAGTCTTTTCTTCTTTTCATATATTTTACCGAAGAGGCCAGGCTATTACATGGGTCATGGGTCTGGCACAGTCATATCCACTGGAAAAGGCAAAAATCATGAAGCCAGCATAGCCGTTTAACACAATTCCAGCAAAGCTGAGAAGAATGCTGAGATCACTGTCCTTTTTGTCTCTCACTGTTAGGTTTTGTTCTCATTGTGTTACATTTTGTGGGGGGACTTCCTTTGTTATGATTCATTTTATGTCTTTTCCTGAGAAATTTAGGTGTGAGTCTTTTTTTAGGAAAGTCCTAAACTTAAGATCTCTTCTGTTTTTAGGGAAATAACTTTATCTAGCCCTATCAGTACTAAGGTAGGCCATAACTCCAGGAGACTTCTTGGGATATCTATCCCTAAAAACACTCAATGTAATTGGAACAGGACAAACTTTGAGATACTTGAATAGGTGACAGATTCAAGACCTCTTTTCACAATATGCTTAGATTATCTTAGAATGTAGTTTAAAGATAGGAGATCAGGCAGGACATTTCCTAGAATAGAATTCAGTAAATAAGATATGTTGACTAAATTATCTTGTTTCTATTTGATAGCATAGATGGTGAAATGGTAATATGAGGAGTTAGGTATCATTATTTTCATTCCTGAAAAGACGGGCTCAGATATTTTCTGTCTGTTTGGAGTGATTAAAACTACAAATACTGTCAGCATAAAAGGTTATCATAGAATGTGATTGCTTTGATGAGACATTTTTTAGACTCTTTGAATTGAAGTTATAGGGCTGATAATACAAGTAACATCTGTTCTATTTGCGACTGAACTTGTAACCCTAGACACGTAGTAAAGAATCAAACACATGTCCAGAGCAAAAACAATATAATCTGTAGTTTTTAGATAATCATTAGTCTGTCTTTGTTCTGTGAAACTTGTGTAAAGAAGAAACCTGATTGCTGGCCAGTCAGAGCTAAAAGATACTCCTGATCACCTGGCCTGACTCACTCCTTCCTCCTTGTCTCCTCTCAGGCCACTCTGTCAGTGGCAGGCAGACCACTGGCATGACTCTTCCTTACAGGTGGTCCGGGTGTGCATAAGAAAGCAGGCTGCATGAGCCAGAGAGGGAAACATGTAAGCAGCACATTCAAGGCCTCTGCTGCTGGAGTTTCTGCTGGCTTCCTTCAGCGATGAACTAGTGAACAGAAAGTGAAATAGACCCTTTGCTTCCATAGGGGCTTTTGGTCATGGTATATTTTTTCACAGCAACTAAAACACTAACACAATGATGCAATGTATATTGTTCCCCAGGAAAAACAAAATCATAATCTATTTTAATTCTTACCGTCATCAAGTTTTTCATAGGACTGTGTCCTGCAGAAACTTTGTGAACAAATAAAGTTTCCAGAAGGTGTCGGATGTAGTGGATGCAATGGAAGAAGAAAGCCAAACTGAAAAGAGAACAAATTAATAAAAACCTAAATTCTTTTCCAGAATCCTACTTGTCATATTATGAGATTTTATAAAGATTAGTTACCTTTTAAATTTTCGGACGAGTATATATGATACAGTGAGCACATGTTCTCCTTCCTGTACTTGTCCATTTGTAGCACATTATTTTTTTTTGCTTTCATATATAAATATTTATATACATATATATAAATATATATACATATATATGTCAAATGTATATATAGAAATATATGTCATATATGTTTAAAATACTTGATTTATAGATTTCTAAAATCATTTAATATATAATTATATTGTAATCATATTATATAATTATAAGTATTATGTAATAATAAATATATAATTATAAATATAAATATATTATAATTATAATATATACTACATATATACACATTCATTTCTCTATATTTATATATGAAACATGTATATTTATGTATGCATCATAAACATATGTTTTATACATAAATATATAAACACACATATATAAAATATATGTGAACATATATAAACACATATGTATATATGCACATATAATATATGATATTAAACATGTGTAATTATATAGTATATTATATACCATGATTTTATAAATCTATAAATCATTTTATAAATCTATAAATCAAAGCAAATATTTTAATGTTTAAAGTATATCACAATGTTTTATAAACAAATCTTATTTAATGCTAATCATCTATAGATGTTTACTTTTTTCTTTCTAATCAGTTTAGAATTTTATTTAATAACTAAAGCAACTACTACAAATATATCAATTTTCACTTCTGATGATACTAGAAATTATCTATAGTTTCAATCATTAATTTTTGCACATATATGCCCTTAGAAAAGGCATAAATACATTAATTGACAATGTGTTCATAAGAAATTGCCTGGGGATTGAAGCAGATAATGAACAAGTTTAAAAATAACCAATGCCTACGTTGAGTGCAGTTGACATTTTGCAATATCAAAAATTACTTTTTAATTGTCTGCTTGTCCTTTAGAAAGTACTATAAAACTGAGAGGTTTTTTAATTTCATTTTCTATTCTGTCATAATGCAGTCTTTATTTGATTGGTTTTGACTACCTGACACATTGTCACATTTGTCTCTTCATATTCTTGTTTCCCTTGTAGTTTAAGGCTCTTCGTTCTTGCCATTTTATATAACTACTATTTTGAAAGTAAATGTCAAATGTCTTTTAGGGTGCCCAATTTGCTTGAACAGACTTTTTATTAACACATTTAACTATTTTTATTGTAAGAAAATTTACATTTAAAAGTTCATTATTCTTAATTTTTTTCACTTTCTAAAATTTATTTATATTTTTATAAATTACAGTTTATTCACTTTGTATCCCACTGAACCCCCTCCCTACTCCCCTCCCAATCCTACCCTTCCTCTCTCATCTCCTCCCATGTCCCTCTCCAAGTCCACTGATAGGGGAGGACCTCTTCCTCTTCCATCTGACCCTACCCTGTCAGGTCTCATCAGGACTGGCTGCAATGTCTTTCTCTGTGGCCTGGTAAGGCTGCTTACCCATTAGGGGGAGGTGATCAAAGAGCCAGCCACTGAGTTCATTTCAGAAAGAGTTCCTGTTCCCATTACTAGGAAACACACTTGGACACTGAACTGCCATGAGCTACATCTGTGCAAGGGTTCTAGGGGTTCAAGATTAGCTCCATGCATGGTCCTTGGCTGGAGTATCAGTCTCAGAAAAGACCCCTTTGCCCAGATATTTTGGTTCTGTTGCTCTCCTTGTGGAGCTCCTGTCCCCTCCAGGTCTTACTATATTCCCTTTCTATCATAAGATTCCCTGAACTCTGCCCAAAATTTGGCTGTGACTCTCAGCATCTCCTTCGATACCTTGCGGGTAAAGTCTTTCAATGGCCCTGTGTGGCAGGCTCCCGTCCTGTTGCCTGTTTTCTCCCTCTTCCAATGTTCATCCCCTTTGCCTTTCTGTATGAGGATTGATCATCTTACCCATGGTCCTTCTCCTTGCTTAGCTTCTTTAGGTGTACAGATTTTATTACATCTTATTATATGTCTAATATCCACTTATAAATGAATATATATCTCTGTGTGTCTTTCTGCTTCTCTGATAACTCACTTAGGATGATCTTTATGATAATATATTTTAAATGATTGAGAAGAATAAAACTTTTGTCTTATTTAATACATGACAAAGAGTTTATCAGAGCAAGATCTGTGTTAGTTAAATAAGAAATGTAAGTAATGTGTTCATGGTAGTGACACCATGAACATAAAACATCAAATAATCCCCGCATATTACTAAGCACAGGAGTACAATATGAGGCAAAGTGTCATCTGTCTTATGGGCCTTCAGTCAAAATAGATAGATATTGGTAGACCCCAAGATAAAGTGCCACTACTAAACTATTGAATATTTTGCTAAGCTGGTTGATGTGGTTTGTAAATTTACAGCTGGATATGATTATTGATTATTCTTCTCCTAGGCAGTTTTCATCCTTTCTTGCATTACTATGACAATTGGTCCTAAGGAGGAGTATTTCAGGTCAGCTCTAACCAGATTTTTTTCAAGTGGAAAGTCTAAAGTCGTTGGTATATTCAGCAATGTGTCCTTGCATGCAAGTTCTTTGAGGCACCCAAGAAAAATCACAACAGTTTCTTTGCTTTCTATGATCAATAATTTGATATGAACATGTTCTTAATCTTTAATGGGGTCATTTTGAGATCACATTCCTTAGAATTGTGCAAAATGTTTTTAGCGATCTGTGCTAACTTCTTAAATCTAAAAATAAGGGATGCTTGTGTAAGTATAATGAAATTATTTGTGGAAGCTTAACATATTTGCTGCTTTGAAAAATATGTTCTGCAGATGTATTTGTTACTAAGATGTTATCAAACATGCTGTTTGGGTGTAAGAGTAGTAATTACTGTCAGTCAGTTCACTTGACACTAAAATAGTTCATCTTCCAAACTGTGCTGTATATTCAATATATGGTAGAATTCACTCTTAAAATACATGTGGCATTATTTTCCTTTCCCAAGGTCTGAAACTCACTGTCTAAATTAATTAGACATTCTATATAAGAAAAATAAAGAGCTTAATATTTCAAAGATTCCTTGACAAGTGTATCATTACCAAGAATCTTTTTTTTTTCTGTCCCTTTGTGAAAGGCTGCATTAGCCATACTCTGTTTCTACAGTGTGCTAAACTGCTTTGTATCACAGTTCACTGATATATGAAGTCATTAGATTCAATAGTTTTATTCTGACAATTAATTAATCAAAGTAAAAAGAAAAGTAATGTGTTCATGTATTAAGCCATTCAATTTATTTCAGAGCTATTTCTTTTTTTTCAATTTATTTATTATTTACTACAATTTATTCACTTTATTATCCTGTCTACAGCCCCCTCCCTTGTCTCCTCCCAGTCTTACCCACCATCCTTCTGCTCCCCCCCTATGCCCCTAGTCCACTCATAAGGAAGGTCCTCCTCCCCTTCTTTCTGACCCTAGCCTATCAAGTCTCATCAGGACTGACTACACTGTCTTCCTCTGTGACCTGGCAAGGCTACACATCTCCAGGGGGATGTGATTAGAGTGCCCACCACTGAGTTCATGCCAGAAACAGCCCCTGCTTCCCTTACTAGGGAACCTTCTTGGAAAGTGAGCAGGTGGTCTAGATCCTCTTCATGCATGGTCTTTGGTTGGAGCACTGGCCCAGGTTTTTTGGCTCTTTTGGTCTCCTTATGGAATTCCTGTCCCCTCCAGGTGTTTCTATCTCCCTCTTCTTCCATAAGATTCCCTGCATTCTGTACAAAGTTTAGCAATGATTCTATACCCTGGTGGGTAGAGTCTTTCAGAGTCCCTCTGTGGTAGGCTCCTGTCCTGTTCCCTGTCTTTTCCTGCTTCCTGTGTCTATCAGATATGCCCTTCTGAGTGAAGATTGAGCATCTTCCCTAGGGTCCTCTGTTGAAATCCAAACGAGGTTGGATAGATTAAAATATCTTTTGGGGGGGTCTTGAGTGCCTATTGTATTAGAACAAACTGCTACCTATTTCCCTAGAGAAGCCTCTCATTAGAGACAAGCTGGTTGCCTTGAGCAATAGAAAATGCATGTTTTAAGTAACCTTTATATAAATTCCTTTTTAATTTAGAATATAAGCATACCATAGGTATCTTGTACCTGTTTTGAGGTTTACCCCTAGATTTTTATATATGTTGTAGCTATTTGTCCTATCGCCTTGTTTATATAGAATGGGCAGTTATGCTTTATGGCCAAACTTTATTTAAACAAATGTCACCCAACTAATCTAAGTATCCACACCCCTTAAATTATACTTTATCATAATTTGGTGGGGAGAATAAGCTCCCAGTAAAAAAGAAAAACTCAAACTTTAAAACCTAAAAAGTCCCATGTCAATTACTGTCTCTTTAAAAGAGACTCTTTAACTGGCTCAGGAGCAAAACACAGCCTCCTGTTGGACATTGCGTATGTAGATTTTACTTAACAGCTTTCATAATTATTATTGTATTGAAAGAAAAGGGGTTTTTTATTGGACTTAAAGGGGAAACCTTGCTATAATGTTCTTTTGGAATGTATACACTTTACTCTTCTTCATTCAAATGCTGATTACTGTCCCCCACTCTCTGGTTTCAATCCAGACACTTTTTTTAAGCATCACCTGTCTCAACTTTGTGTAAACATGCCAAAATAAAGCAGCTAGCCACACTATTGAGCAAGGAAAAGGAACCAGGAAGAGAGGGAGGAGCCAGAGGACAGAAGGTGGGAGGCAAAGGAGGGAGAGGGGCAGAGCTAGGAGAACAGAGGCAGGAGCAGAGATCTTGGAACAACGTGGAGAGATCTAACTGGACCTAATATATCACTAAAAGCAAGTATAATGTGGGAAATCTAAATGTTAGGAAACTATGAGGGCTTGGAGACCAGGCTGTCCCTGAACTTACAAAACTCATCCTCCCTCCACCAGGATGATGGGATTAAAGGTGTGCTCTATTATTCAACTTCAGGCTCTCCAACTTTGTTACATAAAATCTGTATGACTTAGTAATGATTATACTATGAACCTTGACTATAATTTTTCTTGTGCTATGCTGTATGTTTCAACATTTTTTTTCTGTTGTTAGGGGTAGCTGTGACTCAACCATGCATGTGATCAGGAGGTAGATACCTGATCCCTCATACTGTGCTATGGGCTAAGATCCACTGGTCCAACAGTTAGGTTTGCTTTAATTTCTGATAATATAATCATGGAGAAGTTATCTTATCATAATTAGGAGTATACCTGTCACCCTGTGTCCACCATGTGTCACTTACTGTACAACAGGGTGCCGGGGCCATCTAGAGCTTTCTTTCACATCATAAACGTATGAGCACCTCAAGTAAAAGAGAAGGTATATTAGCAGAGGTCCCGAGTATTCCGCCAAAAAGACCTGAAATATAAAGGAGATTTTGGTCTTAAAAAATAGTTTTATAAATATTTTAAGAGTTACCTACATTAATAAACATTCATCAAATACATGAGTTGGTGTGATATATTAATAGATGCTGAATATCTAAAAACAAACTAGATACAGCTGCAAATAAATCTTTCTCGAAAAACCCACTTAGGGTTAAGGAGAATGGAAACTGTAGAGATAATTTTAAAGATGATTTTAAACAACTATTTTGTTGTACTGAAAGTATCCAGAGTTAGGTTAATGTAGCTATGTGCACAAACATTTGCGCGGTACCATAATCTGCACATATCAAAGCATTTCTATGACAACATGATAGTTATTTTAAAATAGTTTCGCTTGAGCTTTCACATGTTCGCTATTCATTACGCATTTAAGTATGTACCCATCACACGCACATACAAAAAATATATGACAGATGTGAAACTAGAAAAACAAGTAGTTCTGTATCCTCTGAGTTTGAACTTTGTAGCAGACTTCAATAGAAACAGTGCAAAATCATCTGAACTAACTTGACTATCATTAAAAATAGAAGACTAAACCTTGTCTATTTGAAATGTTTTATCTTTTAGAGGACACTTGTGGTAGGCTTCCCTACTGTTCCCTCTCTACTGCCGCTTCTGGTGTCTATCCTGTTTTCCTTCTGAATGTTTATTAGGTATCTTCCCTATACCGTGTGATACTTAGCTTAAAATATAAACTGGACATAATCCGAAATTACTTGGGAAGATAGTCTTAATGAGAAATTTTCTTCATTATGTTGTCCTGTGGGCATGCCTGTAGAGGACTGTCTTATTTAAATTAATTCATCTAAAAAAGTTTGGACTAATGCGTGCAGTATTGAATCTGAGTGAAGAAGATCACGAGTTAAGGCCAGCCTAAATTGCATGTTAGGATGTATCTACACGTGCATATGCTTATACAGTAGTGTAATTGTGTACTATATATGAACATATATTTACCTTTAGATAATGGAATATGTAATATTATATATTTATGTGCACAGTTTTGTGGTTGTAGTTACAATTCTTATGATAGCAACGTATATATCATGACCAAAAAAAAAAAAAAAAAAAGACTAGCAATAATAATAAAAAGAATGTAAAAACACACAATTTTTTGGTAAAATAAACTCCACACAAGAATTTATAATAATTTTTGTCTTGTGAAATGCAATGAGACTGCTCTTCTTAGCATGCTGGCTCATGTGTACCCTTGCATTCGGGAGAATAGAACAGTGGAACTTTTGTGAGTTTGAAGCCAAAAAGGGGACAATATGAAACCCTATTTCAGCAAGAAAGGGGAGGAGAGAGAGAGAGAGAGATATCATTTACTATTATTAATATCTTATAATAAGTTTCAGTTGATATTTTGTAATAAGAAGGCTGTTTGCTTCATATAAAAATGTTTAAAATATTTATTTCAGTGCCATCTAATTTAACAAAGTCAAATTTTAGCAAATTCTGTATGATATGTCCAATATGAAAAATGTTGTGAATAATAGTAAAATTTGATGAAAAGCCAGTATAATTTAAGCTAATAAAATTTTATCAGATATTATGTATGAAGTTCTTCAGAGTCAGAGGAAATTAAACTATGTTTTTCTCTCTGTCATATCTTAAATAAAATTTAGGATGGTATGCTCACAGATATGAATACAATTTAAAAGCCAACATTTTATCACAAATATTTCCTATGCTGAAACATAGTGGTTCAAATGGAACTAGATATGAATTATAAATCTTGAATGCAGTAGAGAATGACACTAACTTTTGGACAATGTCCCTTTCAAAATGTTCATTTGAGGGCAAATAAAAGAAAAGACAAAAGTTACTGTATTAAATTGAAAAAGTTATCAGAAATAGTTTTATGACAAAAGGCAAAGACTGCATAAATGCATTACTGTAGTAGCTTACAAAAATGGAATTGGTGTACTGATGAAAAGGAGTTCAAATAGAAGCTATGCACACAGAAAACAAACAAGTGATGAGGACTCACAAAGTCTGAAAATTCCATTATAAACAGTAAAGCCTTGTTTTTATTTTGATTTCTACACTCGAGTTCTAACTTATTTAGTTTAGACTACGTTAATGTGTTTTTTCCTTCAATTTTATCCTTTATACATTTATGTAAAAAAATTTGAAAAATGTATTACTTTAATTAAACAGTGGAAGTTCTTGTGAGCCTTTGGAACATCTGTGGAATCTTATATAATTATGTACACAAATAATTGTACATAACAGCAAATCTTTGAAAAAAAACTTCGCATTTCAAGTAAATTTATTGTGGATGTGTAAAATAAATTGTTAACAATTAAATGAAAGTTTGTATTCATCATGCATCAAACAGAGTGAGTCCCAAAGAACAAGACTTAGAGAAAAATAAATGTTTTTCTCAAACTTATTTGGTCCCATTAACAATGCATTCTCCAAATATAAGAAATAAATAGCATAACAAAGATCAGTTGCTTTATAAGTACAGATGACCACACAGAAGTCGTATGACAGACAACATTTCTTTAGTGACTAAATAATTTTGTGTCTTGAATTGTGTAGCACATATGTGAATATGTGGTGGAGATAAATAGCTTAGAGCTATGAATACATACATACACACTCAAGTACATGGGAAACGATGAAAAATACTCCCTTTAGATAACAGTGTTTGTGTGGTGAGAAATGTGTTAATATTTTAGCCACTCAACTAAGTCATTTAGTAAAGAATATTTTTCATTAATTACTGACCTCCAATGCTTTGGATAAGATACAAGTCAAACCATTATTTGATTTGGATACATCTAACAGTTTTCATTGACTCTATAAAATGACTTACTGTTCATATACATTTTAATATTTAATAAATGTATATAAATTTTATATGGGATAAAAATTTTCTACTATACAATTTAGTGAAATCAAAGTAGGTGTGATTGAAATGTGTATTTAAAGTATTTAGTAAGACTAATTTAGAGCAAAAGAATGTGTTAACCATAAGGGCTGATTTAAGAGTGCTCAACCTATTTCCAGAGTTCTCTGTGTCACTTAGATGACTTTCCTCTCAAATGAGGTATAAATTTCCAGTACAGTTATCAAAGAATTCTACGTTAGTACTTCTCTTTATTTATCCCCATGTGCAGATGGAAGTTTCTGGTGAACTCCTCATGGCTGATGCCTTTCACCTTGTCACAACTCCTGTAAACAAAATTTACTTTCTATTGTGTTTGCTCAGAGTCCAAAATAATTGAATCTTTTTAGATCGTATCTACCTATCTGAAATATCTTTAACTAAGCACACTTGAGCTTCGTATTAAATGTTAAGAATATTTTTCCAAATGCCTACATTAGTAATTTACTTTAACATTCCTATGTTTCAGAAGAATTAATATTATTTTAAATTCAGTGCCTAGTTTAAGAATTTAGCACATAACCTTTTGACAGTTAGGAAACTAATACAAATTTTCAATACCAATAACACAAGTGTAATAACCCCACTATAGAAGAACTCATTACTAAATACTGAAGGTATCTTAAAATTAACTTGGAAAGGTAACAAATATGTCAGCATTTTAATTAAGAAATAAAAATATGAACCTATGCCTTAGAGAAGGTCTTTATTATGTAACTAAGCATGTATACTTATTGTTTTCTTAATATTCATTTGCTTATTTAATATGCATGGGTGTTTTCTCTATATGCATGTCTGTGCAACACAGGCATGCAGCACCTGTGGAGTTCCTAAGTATTTGACTGAGAAAAGTGAGAAATCAGTGGATGCTGAGAACGGAATCTGGAGCCTCTGCAGGAACAGGCAGCAGTAAGTGCTCAGCTGTCTCTCCAGCCGCCACACTTAACATGTTTAAAGTTGATTACATAAGAAAAGTTCTCAAAATGTTATGAATGATAAAACTAATTTTAGCAACAACAAAACAAAATCCATTTTGAATTAAAAAACTGATATAAATGCACTATAAATACAGATTATATTGTAATTCAAAAATTGTTCAGTTTTGAAGAGTATGCATAAAAGATGCCTATTGTGAAAAGAAAATGAAAACAGAGAAGGCCTTGCTATCTGCAGATCACAGCAAGGATTACTCATCACATTAGATTTTTCTTTTCACTAAAACACATACAGAGTTTACTCTGGCTGTTGAAGATTTTCTGTTGCTTGATTGCATCAATCATGAGTTGTTCAGTCTCTTGAAGTGGTTTCAAATTTTTTTTCCCTTTCATTTCCTTTGGTGTAACCTTCCTGTTTCTATTTCATTAAATTCAGATGTAACACGTTTGAGAGCCACAGTTGTTTTCAAAAAAAAAAAAAAAAAAATAGAAGCCAAAAGAGTGTTTCAGTAGAAATTTGTCCACTTATTTTGCTATAATTACAGTAGACTTTAAAACATCATTCTAATATTTAAAAGAATATATTAAAAATAAAAATGTGTGTAAATTAATTTGACACATATTGTGAGATATTAAATTAACTAAATAGAGCACTGGGTTCAATTCTTATCACTGGGGAAAGAAAGCAAACCAATGCTAACAGATAAACATGAAATTAAAAACAGTGGGGCTGATGTGGTAAACTCCAATTGAAACTTACTGTGGTCCAACTGACTTGTTGACCTAAGTCTGTAAAATAGAGTGTGATAATTGAGGAAGCTGCGACACTTTGAATGGTGATGTAGTCCTTCAAAAAAGGGCCACCTAAAATAAAAGCAATGAGAAAACAGAATTTAAATTTTGTGACACAGTGTCAAAGAGTTACTTTTTTTGACATTTTTATTATCATTCATTACAATTTATTCAGTTTTTATCCTAGCTGTGGCCCCCTCCCTCCTCTCCTCTCAATCCCACCCTCCCTCCCTCTTCATCCCCTATACCCCTCCCCCAGTCCACTGATAGGCGAAGTCCTCTTCCCTTTCTATTTGATCCTAGCTTATCAGGTCTCATCATGATTTTTTGCATTGTCTTCTCCTGTGGCCTAGCAAGGCTGCACCAGCAAGGATTAGGTGATCAGAGAGCCTGCCACTGTGTTTATGCCAGAGACAGCCTCTGCTCCCCTTACTAGGACACCCACTTGGAGACTGAGTCTATGGGCTACATCTGAGTGAGTTTTAGGTTGTCTCCATGCATTGTCTTTAGTTGATGTATCATTCTCTTCAGGGCTTCAAGAGCTCAGGGTTTTTTTGGCTCTGTTTGTCTCCTTTTGGAGGTCCTGTCTTCTCCAGTTCTTTTAATCTCCCCTTCTTTCACAAAATTCCATGCATTCTGTCCAAAGTTTGTAATAGCCAGAATCTGGAAACAACCTAGATGTACCTCAGTGGAGTAATGGATACAGAAATTGTGGTACATTTACACAGTGGAATACAACTCAGCTATTAGCTATTAAAAATAAGGTAATCATGAAGTTTGCAGGCAAGTGGTGGAAACCAGAAAAGATCATCTTGAGGGTGGTAACCTGGAAACGAAAAGACACACATGGTATACACTCACTCATAAGTGGTTATTAGGCATATAATATAGCATAAACATACTAAAATCTGTACTCCTAAAGAAGCTAAACAACAAGGAAGACCCTAGAGTAGATGTTCAATCCTCACTTAGAAGGGCATACCTGATAGACACAGGAAGCAGGAGAAGACAGGGAACAAGACAGGAGCTTACCACAGAGGGCTTTTTAAAGATTCTACTGTTTGAGATATTGAAGCAGAGGCTGAAACTCATAATCAAACTTTGGGCAGAGTGCATGGCATTTTATGAAAGGGTTTGATAATATGAAACTGGTGACTTCTTAGAATTCTTTTTATGCAGTCATTATTTTGTATAACAAACCTGAATATCATCAGAAATGAACCATTCCATTTGAGTAACACAGCTCCTGAATTCATTTCTGTGATAGACTGTCTCTGTGCACCAAGGCTGCTAAAAATCATGCAGATCTCATGATTAAAGTAATACTTAAAGAAATACTTATTTCAAGCAGTTTGACTGGGCTTTATAATCAATATAACTGATACACTATAATTAAGTATCTGAAAAAACAATTCCTCAAGTTGAAATGTACTTCTGGTACATGTTCAAGTCCATTTTTAAAACCTGTAATATCTGTGACAATAGAATACAACTTACATCCGACTTATAGCAAAGTTGTCATCAGGTCTCAAAGAAACACTGTGTGATAGGGTGATATGAATGCCGATGTTCTGAGTCATGAAAATATTGAGTCTCTCAATATTGTATCTACTGTCCAAATACACAAAGTTTTCCAAAATATTTCAGAGCAAAATTTAGACTGCTTTTGGTTTTTATGAAAAGATGGAAGGAAGATGACTCAAGTTTTTGTTGTTGTTGTTGTTGTTGTTTAGTTTTGTTTTTCCATGAAAATTCAGCTTAGCCAGCACTTGACTCCAGCTTTATTGTATTTTAGACCAAAAAAAAAAAAATCCAACGTATATATTGGATATATATGTTGCTTTTAAGTGTCATTTTTGCTAACTTATTATATAAAAATAGAAAGTAAACATGACATAGAAAGCAATTCGAAATCAAAATGGCCAATATTACTATGACAACGAATGTTTGTAAGAGTGAAAAAAAATGAAATTTCTTCTTTTTGTATCTTTGAAAGTATGCTGAAAACATTTCTGACAGGCATTTATTGGGTTCTTTAAAAGGGCAATCAATTTGTGTTCTGCTATTATCTTTTAAAACCTCTAGTAACAAAACGTTGAAATATTTGTTTTAAAAGCAGTTGTCTGGGCATCCCCAGGAAAAGGCTTTAGTGCTCACTGCCTGGGGTAGCTTCTGCTGATGTGACTATGGGAAAAATTGGGCAGGCAGAAAGTAAGTGATCTGGTGACCTTACATTGTAGAGTACGCCCAGAGACAAACAACCAATAGCAGGCTCAGAGGTGGTGTGAAGGACCTGATTGGTTGCCCAAAGCTCTATCATCTGCTCTCTCTTCAGCAATGAATGAGTCTGACTCTGCTTGCCCTTGGATTGCATTCTCCTGACTCCAGGTGTCTGTGTGATGACTCGGAGCTTTTCACCCCCTCAGCCTGAACTCCCTGTCCTTATCCACGGGCTGACCCTTGGGAGGACGACCAACACATTCCCATCAACACTTTTGAAAATTAGACACCAGATACATCATAAATCGTACCAATCTCTGTGTGTATTTGTGTGTGTGTGTAGGGGAGATGTACGTGTCTTTGCATTCTCCTGAACCTGTAAGGGTCAAAGACAGAAGCTGGCCTCAGTATCTTCATTTTCCATCTCTCTTCCTGATCCTAGCTTACCCCCAAACTCCCAGGATTTTCCTGACACTATTGCCCTCAGTCAATCCCTGGGTTATATTCCCCACATCTGCCTCTTACATGAGGGCTGCAGATACAAATTTGCATAACAAACTCTGTATTTACTAAGCCATTTTCTGAGCCCTAATCTTTTATGCCACTCTGAAAATTAGGACTCACAAACCCTGTCTTTTACATTTCTAGAAAATGTATTTAACTAAAGGAAGAAATACAGACATAGGCAGGAACATACCAAGACAAGGACCTGGCACCCTTGTAGATCATTCCTTTTCTATTTAAAAGCCCATGATTTCCTGTCCAAACAAGGTCAAACCAAGGCGGTCTTCAGAAAATTGGTCTAAATACTGGGCTAGATTGAGGACACCCTACATCTCGGTGTTTGGAATAGATATTGTATGCAGGGTGTGCACTTTTCATATTGGTAGTGAAGACAAAATCCACTTATACTCATGTTTCAGCTTTTCAGTATGGCATATCAATCACTTTTTGTTTGTTTGTTTGTTTTTCAAGACAGGGTTTCTCTTTATAGCCTTGGCTGTCCTGGACTTGCTTTGTAGAACAGGCTAGCCTCAAACTCACAAAGATCTGCTGGTCTGTTGCTGGGATTACAGGATTGTGCCCCTGCACGGCATTTAAATCACTTTAGCAAGAAGAATTTCAAGTGTGCCAACCAGAACACAATGAAGCGTAATAACACAGACAAGGAAAAAGAAAACACACTTCATTTATTTCTCTGTTGTTTTAAGTATGAATGTAGCTCTCCTCCTTGACAGCTGGTATCTCCTTTCTGACTCTGGGAAGATGTCTCCTGATTGCTTTAGCTAACAGATTATCTGAAAGATGGTTGCAGCTGAATGTTTGAGTCCATCCAAATTCAACAAACTACAACCAGTTCAAAAAGAGCCGCTTGGCTAAATGAATTTTTGCCATTTAGTACATTACATAAAAATTATTCTGAATTTTGTCTTAACAATATCTCTTATATAAAGAAATTAAGGTGATAATTTTATGATGCAATTACTCATTAAGCAAATTATACTGTTAAATGCATCCCAGGGGCACATTTCGATAGGTATTGTAGTACTGACTTGTTCTGGACTCACGTTTTCTTCTTTTATGGTAATAGTTGTAACTATTATGGATTCATATGTAAAATATTGAATCTATAACATGGTCCGATTCCACACTTTGAAAAATTTATAGAATAATGGGACTGCAGAGATGGCTCAGCTATAACAAAAGATGTTTGATTTTCCAGAGGTCCCAAGGTAGATTTCAGGACTCATGCTGAGCAGCTCAAAACCATCTGTAATTTTAGCTCCTGTGGACCCTATATCCTCTTTTGTCTTCTACAAATTTCTGCAGAACCATCTCTCTCTCTCACATATACACACACAGAGAAAAAAACATTTATAGAATTTATTGGCTTTTGTTATTAACTTACAGAGCAATAATTTTCCTATAGTTTGGTAAGTAGAAAGGTAAAATTAAGGTAACCAAAATAATCTTCTCTTTTTTACAATACACTGCTTACCTCAATGACTTAGTTTCTGTCCAAACACGTAGGAAGTAGTTTTAATTTGCTCAGACCACTTTCAGGCCCCAAGAACCAAACGAAAAAAAATTCTTAGTGACCAGAAAATTTGTGCTAACAAATAAACTCTTTAGTCCCTTGGAGAATGCCTTTAATAGAAATTATATTTGACTGACACCTATGCCACTCCCACACTGGCTTCCTTAAATTAGGGGTTTGTTTAAGTATACTACAACCAATTTTTAGTACAAGTTATACACCCTGGAGGTCCATACAAATAGGATGAGGTTTTTGTTCTCTTGAGCTCAGTGAGGTAAGAATTTGCCTTGAAAATATGATTATGATATCAATTGGACTAAAATTGCATGAATTCTAAAAATGTAATAAATATATGTTCAACATACAGCTCTCAGAGAAAAGTAGAATATATTTTTAAAAAATAGAAAAAAAATAGAGAATCGTTCAAACTTTTTGTGACATAGGAATTTGACTTTAATTCTAGTGAAATTTTAGCTTGGTGACCATGATGATTAGCAAAGGATTAAGAAAATATACTATATTTTAAATGTAACTCCTACAAATATACTTCTGTAACTTTTGCAACTACATTCTATACACCTTGCAGAAATCCAAATATACATTTTAGCTACAGCACTCCTATAAACAGAAAGTTTTAAGTGTTAGGTCCAGTTTGGTGAAAAGTCAATAATACTGGTTCTCAAGTAGGACTCATTTACGGATTTACCTACTGAAATTCTGATGTGACATCTATTAGTGGGTGTTGTATTTTTCTCTGTTTCATTAATTTTGCTCCCTTTTATCATAATATTCTATTAATGGAAGCATAAAAGGAATTTTTAAAAAAAATAATGTTCAAAGATAAAATGGAGAAGCACTCAAGGATTAAACTCAAATAAGATAATAGTTACATGTATACACTAAGTAATAAATGTGAGCTATTGAGGAAACAAGACAGATTATAAATTAAATAAGTTGATTGGTTGAAAATGATCTTACCACATTCTAATTGTAGGCCAACTCGAGAAGGGTACCACTTTGGACCTATATGGTGAAAAATAACATTTAATCATTAGCTAAAATAAAATCTCAGCTTTAAATTATAGAACTAAGAGAGTGCACCTATTGGAGTGAGAATAAAAGAATTACTTAGTATCAAACATAAAGACATCACTTTGTATTGGAAGGGCACTGACCAGCTCTTGTGGGTGGTGAGGATGAAACTGTAATTTGACTACAAAGGTTTGCTAAAAGCTATGAGCAAGTACCAATCCTTGTGGTCCCAGACAAGCAATGTATGAAGTATAATTATTTTTTTAAAAATTATTTCTTTAAAAAAATATATATACACACTTATGTAAAACAATGACGTTTAAATCACTGAAAATTTCTTTGCCATTGGCACCTGAAAATGTTTGTTCCCTTTAGGAATAAAGTGCTCTGTCAGAATATTACCCACAATCTCAGATTCTCCATCAGAATATCTACAGAAGTGAAGAGCTCCATTAGAATGATATATATGATAGAATTTGAATGTTGTGAATATATTAATTAGAACAGTAATTTCAATGTATATGTTATTGTTGGACAATTTATATGAATTGATAGAATAATACTCTATTTACAAGAAATATTTAACATTTTAATAACATTGCAGCACTGAATAAAAGTGATGTCCTAAATTCAAATATGATCTGTTTCTGGTATAAATAAATTATATACAATTGTCTTAAATGCCCATTGAAATAAATGTTAAACAATTCAATCCAACGTGTGATAATAAATTAAAAATAAGTTTATTTTCAAGAAAATTCTACCATTTTCATTTTTACAAATAATACATTTGAATTATTACTAACAGTGAGAACAAATGAGGCACAGACCTACAGTCCCAGCATTCTGAAAAGCTCAACCAAAATTATGAATTCAAGGCCAGCATGAGCTAAAAAGCACCATCCTGTGTTAAAAAGTTAATAAGCAAATGTTTTATTATTAGGAGTGGTAAAGATGTGATATACTGAAATATAAGACTGAAATGTTATTGAATTTATATCAAAAGACAAATTGTATGTGGAGATTACTATACAGGGAAAATCTTAAGAAAGACTTTATAATGATACACTAAAGACTATGTAGGCTTATTCATAAACAAGTTTTAGATGTTAATGACTAAGATTACACACAAATACTGTGACACTTACCATTGTAAATATTCTTTAAAGGCATCATGTTTTATTTCATCTAATGTATTAACTAACATACTTATTACTTATATATTCATTTAAAGTTTTGAATTGTAAATTAACATTTTTATTGAAAAAAAATGAAGAGTTTTGCTGCCATGTCACCTTCAGATTAATAAAATATGATGCAACAAAATGCTACTGAAAAGTCAACAGTTTTAATTGAGCTTTGTGGAGACAATTGATAATAAACCAAGTACAAGCCATGTGATTAGCCTTTTGACAGATAAAAATTGAGCCCCCATGATAGTTGTATATAAGCAGTCAGATTCTGTCCATTTTAATAACATTGGAGAGGGGCGTAAGAAGAGATGAGGGAGGATGGGGTTGGGAGGGGCCTACAGCTGGGATAAAAAGTGAATAAACTGTAATTAATATAAAAAATAAAAATTTAATAGTATTCATCAAAGACATCACATTTCATAGCAGCTTATAATGCCATCTTGGGTGGAAATATAAAACAACAACAACAACAACAACAACAAAAAAAAAAAAAAAAAACATTTGCCCGTGCCTTATAAATTAGATGAGGAGATGAGGTGAATTGGCCCGGCCTGCAACAAAACGTGTGTGTGTGTGTGTGTGTGGTCGAGTATAAGGTACTTGATTTTTTTTATTTACAATATTTTAATTTAAATTTTTACAATGTTATAATAACTTTAGGATTTTAACAATGCTGAAATTGGACCATGGTGCCACAGTTAAATTGTTACCATAGTAGTCACCCCGTCTTATCCATTACAACAGTAAACTCACTTTATACAATAGATATTGTATTCTGATTACACCTTAGAGTTCTTTTTTAAACTATTGAATAACACTGTGAATGAATGTAACCTTGTCACAAGTAAGTATATATTTCACTAAATTACTTATCACCAAAGATTCACATGAAAAGTATAGGTATTGTGGCATGAATGTACCTATAACATTGTAACATCTTTTAAAAATGTAATGCATATATAAATTATAAATGGATAGACAAATAATCATGTAAAATATTCATTTTATTTTGGAATTTCTTGAGAAATAATAAAGCCCAATACATCATGTATCCAATAACACAGAAAAATGTAGCATCCACTACCAGAAAATGACCAAAGGCAGGAGAGCATCAGCCTTTTTCAAATGTATTTGGTTGTAAACACTTGAGAAAAACAGTGGTTTGTAACTTTAATATATATTTTCTATTGAAAAAAGAATTATAGTTAATATTTTGTGTTTTTGTTTTGTTTTTTGTCAACAGATCTTTTTTTATTTTTATTAATTACAATTTATTCAATTTGCATTCCCCCATGTAACTCCCTCCCTCCTCCCCTCCTAATCACATCCTCCTTCCCTTTTCTCCACCCATGTCCATCCCAAAGTCCACTGATTGGGGAGGTCCTCCTCCCCTTCTTTCTGATCCTAGTTTATCAGGTTTCATCATGAGTGGCTGAATTGTCTTCCTCTGTGTCCTGGTAAGGCTGCTCCTCCCTCAGGGGGAGGTGATCAAAGGGCAGGCCAATCAGTTAATGTCAGAGACAGTCCCTGTTCCCATTACTATGGAACCCACCTGGACACTGAACTGCCATTCATGTTTAAAGTCTTGGAGAGATCAGGGATACAAGGCACATACCTAAGCATAGTAAAGGCAATATACAGCAAGCCTAATAGCCAACATCAAACTCAATGGAGAGAAACTCAAATCAATCCCACTGAAATTAGGGAAAAGAAAGGCTGCCCACTCTGTCCATATCTCTTCAACATTGTTTTTGAAGTCCTTGCTAAAGCAATAAGACAATTAAAGGAGATCAAGGGAATACAAATTGGAAAGGAAGAAGTCAAAGATGATATGATAGTGTACCTGAGTGACTCCCAAAATTCTACCAGAGAACTCCTACAGCTGGTAAACACCTTCAGCAAAGTGGCTGGATACAAAATTAACTCAAAAAATTAGTAGTCCTCTGTTTACAAAAGACAAAAGGGCTGAGAAAGAAATTAGGGAAACAACACCCTTCACAATAGCCACAAAGGAAATAAAGTATCTTAGTGTGACCCTAACCAAGCAAGTCAAAGACTTGTATGAAAAAAATTTCCAGTCTCTGAAGAAAGAATTATAGTTATTAATATAATGTTAAAAATAAATAATGCTAGGATATTATTAAAGGCCAATGGAAATAGTTTTACAAACTTTTTCATTTATAAAATAAAATTGACTTAACGTAAAGAAACTCTCTAGATTAAAGCCATTGTAAACTTGACAGCTCCCAGGTGTGTTTCCTAGTCAAGGTAATCTTTCTAAGACAACCAAGTAAACTGAGAGCATCCAGCAAGAGTGTTAGGAGGGCCTCAGCATGATAAAGGACTGAAAATTTCCTATGAGCATAAGAGACATATTGTGATCATATTAAATGAAAGTGGATATGAGCTGTACACCTGCTTTTAGATTTCAGAATTTACAGAAAGATAAAAATGAGATCTTTTACAGAAAATATGAAACATGGTGATTAGAAATGGTTTTCATGTGATGTTTCTGAAATGGAGCATACGTTTATCTGAAAGAGAAATGTTTAGAAAGGAAAGCCATACTAAACCACCTCTCAAAACATTAAATAAACCTCGCAGGATTATTTAAGAGAACAGCTAGTAGATTAATTGGAATAAAGGTTTTTGTACATAGTAACTATGTCTTCAAAATGGAAGTAGTAGCAATTAGATTTTCATCATTTGATGTGTATCATACGTGTATGTGTAATTTAATGTACAGTAACTTTCTAGATTAAATCAAAATAATTGAAAATGTGATTGAAATGCCATCCTGAGCTGGACAGGGACCAGGTGGGTATCAAATGACATCCTAGTCAAGGTAATCTTTCTAAGACAACCAAGAAAACAGACTACATAAAGCAAGCAGTTTAGCAGAGCTTCAGTAGGCTAAGGGAAAGATGTTTTCCTAAAAATAAGTGATAACAGACATATTGTAGTCAAATTAAATCATATAAGTGCATTATATACATTATGAGTATATATGTATGTAATATATATTATGTATATATGATATACACATATATAATGTATAAGTACACTGAATATATTATAAGTAATGCATCATATATATGTAAAAGCAAATATGTTGTCATGTATATGCATAGATAGATAGATAGATAGATAGATAGATAGATAGATAGATAGATAGATAGATAGATAGATAGATAGAACAAAAACTATTCTTGGTTGCCATGCAGAGAACCATGGAATTGGCTTGGCCTAGCTGTCTTAAGAGGCTTGTGTCATAAGTTTTTAGGTTAAAGCTCACGGCTCCTGGAGCACAACAAATCTTCTAGTTCCTGAGAGGCCATAGCAATACCTTAGGCAGTGAAGCATTCAGGGTGCTCTCTGTTCCTCTCTATGTTCCCTTTTTAGTCAAGGAAGCATAGGAGCTTGAATGGACAATTGGTCTTAGACGTTAATCTTCTATACCATGTGTAGTTTGCAAATGTCATTATATGCTGGCACCTACAATTGTATTGATTCTGACAATTTCCATTATATTCTGTTTCAGATAAAAGTATAAAAAATCTGGTTGCTCTCAGTGAAATTCTCATAGCCATAGTCTTGATGTTGTCCTTCCAACTGGCCTGGCAATATGTATTTTCAAGAAAAAGATGAATATCACTTCATTCATATTAAAATTGACACTGTGGAAAAATAACACCAATAATAGAATACCAATAATAGAAGAAAACATTCTTGGTGCCAAATAAATAAATGGACTTTATTTGCTGCAAAATAAAAATTAAAGCACGTAGTCTGTAGAAT